TATAATACCTTGTGAAATAAACATACACTGCATAATCTGATCCTGTATGTGTAACTTTATATGTGCTCACATATACATGGATATGGAATATGCTTACAAACAAGCTAAAAGGGCCTGAGTAGAAGGCTTTAAGTGATTTTTAATTTTCTTAACCTCTGATCTTTTTTATTAAATAGCAGCAAATATCTGTAATTTTTAGTATATGTGCTGCCAAAGCGAGCACAAATATCTGTAATTTTTACAATGAGCAAAACAAAATATTATTTTCATTTCAAGTGAAAATGCAGCTGTCCTGAAATATTCTTTAACTTTTCTTGGCAGATTTTCAAAGCTATAGATAGAATTTGGGGACTGGTAACATCTCTATTGTGTCATTTAGTTACTTCCTGCGTTAGTATATATTCAATTCTTAGGGCTTTCAAAGAAAATATGCCCTGTCATAAACACCAAATGTACAAAGGCGGGACAGATTCTCCAGTATCTGCCATGAAAGAGCATCAAAAATAGATTCTGATTTGCCTGTCACTATCATGAAAAGTAAAATGGAAAGATGACTTGGTGTTTAACTTCAGACATCTGATATCAATTGGACACAATCCATCTCTCAGTTTAGAGTAGTTATCCCTCAGTCTGCTTTCAGGCCTAATCCCTTAAAAAAGTCTTAACAGTTTCCAGAGTTTGGTCTTTTTCCAATTTTCAAGGCATAAGCCTTTGGGAAAACCTTAGATCTAATCTTCCCTTATTGCCTTTCCTTTCCCTAAAAGAACAGAGTATTTCTTCACATGTGGGATTTTTGTGGTTATCATTTATCACTTTAGGCTTTCAACCACAAATTCACCCATTATTTTGTAAATTTCTTAGTCTTTGTTGCAGTGTATAGGATTATACTTAAAATAGCTTTCTAGACTGGGACAACTTAAAAAGTAATAGAATGTTTTTGAATTATTAAAAATGATTCAATGACCAATTCCAGTAATGTGAATAAACACAAACTCTTATTTCTGGGACACAGTTCTTTGAGCAGCAGGTCATGTTATAAATTATTACATCCGTGCTATGTGAGAGGTGAGCTGTGTTTAGACCAAAGAAAAGTAATCGGCATATCCTAACTGATTCTAATAAGGCTTTAGATTCTCCCTCACCACCACCACTTACTCACCTCTTGGCAGCGTTGTCCACAACTAAAAAGATTAAATCTAGACCTAACCACCGTCAGTGGGTGCATAACAAGCTGAAAGATCACCCATTAAGAATTGCTTCTCAGGAGCCCCTCAAGGGGTGGTTTTATTTGATAGCTCTGACCTGAATGAAGAAATTGAGATTTCATCACGTCTGCCCATGACACTAAATTAGTTGGAGCACATAACACCTCCTAGTATTTCCTTGATATATTTGGGAATGGTTTATAGACCCCATTGCAAAACAGTTCACTTAGGGACTAAAACGAAGACAACTCCAGGGTGCAAAAAAAAATCCACACAAATGCAGCCAAGTTCCAGGGGTCTTATCAATCACAGAGATCACATGGCAAGAATGCTGCTTTTGTGAAAAATACAAGATAATACTTCAATGTATCCAGAAAATCATTCATCCTTGACTCTTGGCACTGTTTTCTCTATTCTCTTTTTAGTGCAGGAATAAGAATGAATCTTGAAAGAGGATTCAAATTCATTTAAAATCAAGAAAAATATATCCTTTGAGAAAAAGTTAATAATCATGCTTTACTTGGATTAAATACGGAGAAGATAATATCTTTAGGAGATGCTCATTCTGTCAAGAGAATTTGACTAGTCTTGAGAAACAGCATTAAGCTAGGTAAACCTTAGTCTACGCCAAGAAAGATGATTGAAGCTCTTTTTGTCCTTTGAGATCAGTTAATGAAAAGAAGGAGTTATTTGTCTGAAATAGCTTATGTATCCCAAAACCAGAAGTCATAAGGTGAATTGCAAACTTTTTCAAGTTCAGTGCATACTCTGAGATTCTAGCAAATAATTTACTTCTTATGGTATTAAGATGAAAAAAAGACAAAGAATTTTAAAATTGTATGACTTATTAATTATGTCTATAATAGCGTCTTTTTGTGAAAACATCAAATTCAATGTCTATTGATCACCTATATTGTTCCAAGCACTCTTTTTTTTTTATTTTGTGAGGTAAAAGCTTATTAAGTCATATTAATTGCCCTACAGTGACTTAAAATTTCTGAGAGAACATAGAGTATTTATGTAAGCACTAATGTATCAATACAGTGTGTGATATGTGTCTTATCACAAGATAATACCTAATACTATTAGAGTATAGTGAAAGATAACAGGGGCTGGCTCTGGCATAGCAGGTAGAGCCGCCACCTGCAGTGCCAGCATCCCATATGGGCATTGGTTTGAGTCCTGGCTGCTCCATTTCTGATCCAGCTCTCTGCTATGGTCTGGGAAAGCAGTGGAAGATGGCCCAAGTCTTTGGGCCTCTGCACCTGCACGAGAAACCCGGAAGAAGCTCCTGGCTCCTGGCTCCGGATCGGCACAGCTCTGGCCGTTGAGGCCATCTGGGGAGTGAACCAGTGGATGGAAGACCTTTCTCTCTCTGCCTCTTCTTCTTTCTCTGAGTAACTCTGACTTCCAAATAAATCTTTTTTAAAAAGATAATAATTTCTTATCAGATAATGATGATACTAATAGCAAATGTTTTATTTACTATATTCCAGTTACTGTTCTAAGAAGTTTACAGAAAGTAACTTATGCAATTGGCACAGCAACCCCATAAGTGTCTTACTATTCATACGTTAAGTATGATGAATCTGAGGCACAAAAAAGTAAAGTAACTTGTCCAAGCTCATATATCTGGTAAATGGAAGAATCAGGATTAAAACTCAAATGACAGTTGGTCCATCTAGAAAATAGGCAGGGATTTTGGTAAATAAAGTTGAGGTGACACAAGTAAAGACAGAGGGCATTCCTGACAGAGCTCATCGAGATAAAATGGTGATTCTAAGAGCAGTGTGTATTATAAAATGAGTGGTTCTGCTTGTCTGGGAATGGTGCCTGTATTGAAGCATAGAGGGAGGGGAGACTAGAAGAGAGGCTAGGCTAGATGGTGCTGGGTCTTGGATACCAGAGCAATGAGTGGGACTTCAGAAGCACTCTTTTGAAGACATTTAAACATAGAGATACCATAATAAAACCAATTTGGGGAGATAACTTTGTGAGGGGATAAGGGAGGGAAAAATATGAAGTCTAAAAGTTACTAGTGATTTATGATGAAAATTATAGAAATGTCTTCCTTCTAGATACACTTAATATTTTTATGCCTTTGTAACTGTTAAGGATTAGGAGAATGGAACATGGCAGAATCATATTCTAAGGATGAAAAAATAGGTTTCCTCTGGCATTCTAAATCCAATTAATTTATAGTGAGTGCATGGCAGGTTGTGTTGTGAAGGATTCTGAAGCCATACCCAGGAATAGCAGGGAAGAATGCGGAGTCAGAGTGGAGAGTGCCAGCATAAATGTCATCTATTTGCCATTCTTGCTCTTTGCCATAGGCCTAGTGTTGTGATGGGCATGGAAAATCTATGGATCACTTTACTCAAAGCTCTACTCCATGAGAGCTATCCAAAGAAAACATAATAAATGGAAAGATGACTGGTTATACTGAGAATATTACCACGTCTGGACTCAGAGGAATTGGATCCCAGTTCAACCTACTGCTTGTTACTTGAGTGCTTCAGAATAAGGCACTTAAGACTCCTAAAAATTGCTTTGTGAATTATCTCAGATGTGAAATACATAAAGTTCTTTGTAAACTATCAACATTATTAAGTACAAGCTTTGAATAATAATTCAGTGTAGCAGTAGTTCAAATATTGTCATAATTTATTTTTGGTTGTTTTTGAGAATTTAGCTTGTTGATAGCATACTAGGCTTGAGTGTACGAGATTCTTTAGCATCCAATCTCCTTTTACAAAATTGGACACTATGAATTAAAAAAAGCCTATCATTTTCTGACAGGTATAACCTTCATTCCCATGATAAAAGCTTCTAAACTTTTCATAAATCCAATGTCTTATCTGAGAGTAGGTTACAGTTTCTACTTAAGAATTGGACATAAACAACATATTATCATTTCTCCAGTGTAAGTGCTCTTTTTGGATTCAAAGAATATGTTGTTCATAAAATATTTGAGACTTTTTCTATGTAATGCCAATACCTTTGGCAATTCTCAATTTTTAAGAATATCTATTTAAATAAAACACTATTTTGATGTACCAATTTCATAAACATTTATACTAGTAACGCCAATTTGGTAAACCCTGAGCTTATCAAATTATCTTATTCCCAATGTAAACAAAGTTGTAGTTGCTTGACTTGGTTCCTTAGCATTTGGATAGTGATGAAAAGTGTCATTTAATAGCGGTAACCAGGAGAGCAGAGGGAATTAACTGTTCCCTTGATGCCATAATTGGCTTACCTGATGAAACATAAAGACATAATCCAAGTTGTAGGGGCAAATACGATATTTAAACTGCCAAGCATGACTCATAGTTTCTGTATCTGTAGTGACTATTTGAGACATAAGTAGTAATATTCTATTTTTAGAGACTAACAAATGCTAAATAATTGTGATTTGCATTCATTTCTGGAGGAAAAAATGCTCTGAATTATATCTTCTACATTTAGTATTTTTTTACCCTGTGGCTGTGCATACAAGTTTAATAGAATTTATCCAGGGAGCGGAGACAGAGTAGAAGAGAGATACTGAGTTTCCATCCACACCCTTTTCATCCAAGATCTCAATAACCCATTTTGGGGGCGCGCGTAATGGCTCCTTGGCCTGCGGGCCGGCTCGACGACGAGCTCTCCTCCGAGCCGCTCACTGCTTGGTAGAGTGTGGTGCCCCCGCCGCCGCCGCCTGCATCGCTGCCGCACTACGACCACCTCCGCCCCCTGCCCTGCATCCGCCGCTGCCGCCTGTGTCGCCGCCGCCTCGGGACCGGCTGTATGATTAGGCCACAATCTTCAATAAACATATTCCTCAGTTCTGTGGTGTTCTTGGTCACACATTTATGGAGTTTCTGAAGGGCAGTGGAGACTACTGCCAGGCACAGCACGACCTCTATGCAGACAAGTGAACTGTAGAGATTCGTTACTACTCCACCAAGAAGCCCCCATAAAAGTGGTTAACCTGGACACAGAAGTGTTGGATTGAAATCCACAGAGCATTTTTCAGGAGTTCTGACCTGGATGGGGTAAACCTCAGTGCACTTCCTTTCTATTGCCTCAGTATTACCGGATTGAAGAATTGCTGCTTCTTGTTAGGAGGTTCATTTCATTTCCCATTACTCCCAACTTCATACTTAAAGCACTGAGAATCACAAGTGGAAGATAGTGAAGTAGACTTCAGTTTCTTTGTGTAATTTCTGTATTCAGTTTTTTAAAATTCTTTCATAATCCTATAAAGTGTTTTTTAAGTAAATTAACATGGCCCGAATGAACCGCCCAGCTCCTGTGGAAGTCACGTACAAGAACATGAGATTTCTTATTACACATAATCCAACCAATGCAACATTAAACAAATTTATTGAGGAACTTAAGAAATATGGAGTTACCACGATAGTAAGAGTATGTGAAGCAACTTATGACACTACTCTTGTGGAGAAAGAAGGCATCCATGTTCTTGATTGGCCTTTTGATGATGGTGCACCACCGTCCAACCAGATTGTTGACGACTGGTTAAGTCTTGTAAAAATTAAGTTTCGTGAAGAACCTGGTTGTTGTATTGCTGTTCACTGTGTTGCAGGCCTTGGGAGAGCTCCAGTGCTTGTCGCCCTAGCATTAATTGAAGGTGGAATGAAATATGAAGATGCAGTACAGTTCATAAGACAAAAGCGCCATGGAGCTTTTAACAGCAAACAACTTTTGTATTTGGAAAAATATTGTCCTAAGATGTGGCTGCGCTTCAAAGACTCCAATGGTCATAGAAACAACTGTTGCATTCAATAAAACTGGGGTGCCTAATGCTATTGCCTTGGAAGAAGAACTTGAGACAGGATCTAATTTGTCATACATATTAGCCAAAGGGTATTGAAAATTAGTTTTACCAGGCCACGAGTTTGACAGAATTGCAACCTCTATCTCTGGGTTATAACCAACTTATTTGGACATTTAGCAAAAGATGT